ACCAGTTATTGATGATAAGCTTCATCACACATCAACACTTATGAAGTCATGCATGTCGAAATACAAAATTTGCATTTCAAAATTATTTCATATTTTTAAAATGCACAAGTAGGGAAGGAACAAATTTGGTAAGGGAGACAAATGGTTAATAAATATAATAATATAATAACAGCGTTCAAAATACCTGCCTGCCCGACCACCCGGGACGGGGTATTTTCAACATGGAGTGGCAAATTTCACATTCACCTGCCCGACAGTCAGGTTAAAATTTAGACATTTATATCAGTATTATTTTGTGGGCAGGTAGGTTTTGGTCAGGGCTGGCAAGTTTTACATCTAACCAGCCCTGTGGTCCGGCTGAAATTTTTGGGAGTTTCATACCCTGATAATTAGCTTCAGATACAATAATTTACTGCTTGTCCAAATAACCATGGTGACAGTTGTCTTCTAGTCTCCTGATACCCATGTGCAGTAACCAAGGTCTGACTGCACCTCCAGTAGTGGTTAAGCCATCCATCACCACGTTGCACTTTGGCAGATGCAGATGATAGTATGCAGGCTGCATAACCTTTCCAGGATTATATTTGTGGACTGTTGTAAACAACTCACACCATACAGGGCTGACACTGGTGGATATAGCAGAAAGATGAGATTGAAGCCCAAGTAGTTCTTCTTGTTCATCACCATGATATCAATCAGTGTGAAATTACTCATCGCATTACACTGCATACAACAAGGATGATGATACCTGGTGTTGGCCTACATGTATAGCGTGGTGACACACATCAGAAGGATGATACCTGGTGTTGGCCTACATGTATAGCGTGGTGACACACATCAGGAGGATGATACCTGGTGTTGGCCTACATGTATAGGGTGGTGACACACATCAGGAGGATGATACCTGGTGTCAGCCTACATGTATAGGGTGGTGACACACATCAGAAGGATGATACCTGGTGTTGGCCTACATGTATAGTGTGGTGACACACATCAGAAGGATGATACCTGGTGTTGGCCTACATGTATAGGGTGGTGACACACATCAGAAGGATGATACCTGGTGTTGGCCTACATGTATAGGGTGGTGACACACATCAGGAGGATGATACCTGGTGTTGGCCTACATGTATAGTGTGGTGACACACATCAGGAGGATGATACCTGGTGTTGGCCTACATGTATAGCGTGGTGACACACATCAGGAGGATGATACCTGGTGCTACATGTATAGGGTGGTGACACACATCAGGAGGATGATACCTGGTGTCAGCCTACATGTATAGGGTGGTGACACACATCAGAAGGATGATACCTGGTGTTGGCCTACATGTATAGGGTGGTGACACACATCAGGAGGATGATACCTGGTGTTGGCCTACATGTATAGTGTGGTGACACACATCAGGAGGATGATACCTGGTGTTGGCCTACATGTATAGGGTGGTGACACACATCAGGAGGATGATACCTGGTGTTGGCCTACATGTATAGGGTGGTGACACACATCAGGAGGATGATACCTGGTGTTGGCCTACATGTATAGGGTGGTGACACACATCAGGAGGATGATACCTGGTGTCAGCCTACATGTATAGGGTGGTGACACACATCAGGAGGATGATACCTGGTGTTGGCCTACATGTATAGGGTGGTGACACACATCAGGAGGATGATACCTGGTGTTGGCCTACATGTATAGGGTGGTGACACACATCAGGAGGATGATACCTGGTGTTGGCCTACATGTATAGGGTTGTGACACACATCAGGAGGATGATACCTGGTGTTGGCCTACATGTATAGGGTTGTGACACACATCAGGAGGATGATACCTGGCCTGTATAGGGTGGTGACACACATCAGGAGGATGATACTGGTGTTGGCCTACATGTATAGGGTGGTGACACACATCAGGAGGATGATACCTGGTGTTGGCCTACATGTATAGGGTGGTGACACACATCAGGAGGATGATACCTGGTGTTGGCCTACATGTATAGGGTGGTGACACACATCAGGAGGATGATACCTGGTGTCAGCCTACATGTATAGGGTGGTGACACACATCAGAAGGATGATACCTGGTGTTGGCCTACATGTATAGGGTGGTGACACACATCAGGAGGATGATACCTGGTGTTGGCCTACATGTATAGGGTGGTGACACACATCAGGAGGATGATACCTGGTGTTGGCCTACATGTATAGGGTGACACACATCAGGAGGATGACACACCTCAGTATAGCGTTGTGACACACATCAGGAGGATGATACCTGGTGTTGGCCTACATGTATAGGGTGGTGACACACATCAGGAGGATGATACCTGGTGTTGGCCTACATGTATAGGGGTGGTGACACACATCAGGAGGATGATACCTGGTGTTGGCCTACATGTATAGTGTGGTGACACACATCAGGAGGATGATACCTGGTGTTGGCCTACATGTATAGGGTGGTGACACACATCAGGAGGATGATACCTGGTGTTGGCCTACATGTATAGGGTGGTGACACACATCAGGAGGATGATACCTGGTGTTGGCCTACATGTATAGGGTGGTGACACACATCAGGAGGATGATACCTGGTGTTGGCCTACATGTATAGGGTGGTAGGGTTGTGACACACATCAGGTGGTGACACATCAGGAGGATGATACCTGGTGTTGGCCTACATGTATAGGGTGGTGACACACATCAGGAGGATGATACCTGGTGTTGGCCTACATGTATAGGGTGGTGACACACATCAGAAGGATGATACCTGGTGTCAGCCTACATGTATAGGGTGGTGACACACATCAGGAGGATGATACCTGGTGTTGGCCTACATGTATAGGGTTGTGACACACATCAGGAGGATGATACCTGGTGTTGGCCTACATGTATAGGGTGGTGACACACATCAGGAGGATGATACCTGGTGTTGGCCTACATGTATAGGGTTGTGACACACATCAGGATGATGATATATATATATCACAAATAAAAGGATTTCCTATAGGGAGCACTATGTCATGTTTGCCTGTTTCTTTTCAGTCCCCAGGGGCATAAAACTTGAAGCTGCTGCCATCGCACCGTTGCAGTAATTTTTTCAAAGGTAGAATATCTCCAGTTCAGAGCAACCTTTGGAATTACCTTTGTTGCCTAGTGCTTTATGACCTCTTATGTTTAAAATACTACATGAGCACACATCCTATCCTTGTACAGGTTGCATACACACATGTGGGCAAAACAACAAAAGTTCTGATTAAATTATACAAAGATGAATGAACTGTGTCAGACTATTATCATGCTAACCATTTGCAGTCATGGGAGTACTGCACTTTACCGGGCGCACTTTTTCAGATTAATTAGCGCTGCTGGGGTTCCCTAACCCTAACCCTAAGGATCGTAAAGGGTGCCTAACCCTAAACCTAAGGATCGTAAAGGGTGGCATACCCTTACCCTAAGGATCGTAAAGGGAGCAGCGAGGGCTGCGCCCGGTAAAGTGCATTCTAGCCGCAGTCATAACAGTAAATGACCTAGTTTTACAGTTGACAGCAATAATGTTTTTAGAATCTGGAATGAACAAAATATGGCTGCGTATTTTGCAATTTCATACTAAAATTAAAACAGAAACCTTATCCTCTATTATGTATCTTTTGTTGTAATAAAATACTTCAGCATAAGAGTTGTTTATCACCTTATTGCTGAAATAGTGAAAATATCTACACCATGTACATGCCTCTGAATGAATTCATATTCTACAACTTTAGAGAAGAGGTATAAAATTCAACAAAACTATTCCTTCAAATTAACTTGTCCACATGATTACTAGCCTGGAGCCAATGGTGATGCTAAATTTTACTAACACAGAAATGTGCCTGGTATTTATGCCTATAACTGATTACATGTTTCTCATTAATATCATACAATCCTTCCAATGTGTCAACTATTATCCACAAGGGTTGTTTTGGTTAACTATAATTTGCAACCCTCCTGTGACTGAGCTTCATTCAGGCAAAAAAACATCTTGATGATGGGAGGTCAACCATGTCCACAATACATTCACTGACCCTTGATACATGTCATGCCCACTGCTTCAGAGATCAACAGTACTTAAACAGTATACAAGAATTAAAACATCTCTCTTAGAGATCAACAGTACTTAAACAGTATACAAGAATTAAAACATCTCTCTTAGAGATCAACAGTACTTAAACAGTATACAAGAATTAAAACATCTCTCTTAGAGATCAACAGTACTTAAACAGTATACAAGAATTAAAACATCTCTCTTAGAGATCAACAGTACTTAAACAGTATACAAGAATTAAAACATCTCTCTTAGAGATCAACAGTACTTAAACAGTATACAAGAATTAAAACATCTCTCTTAGAGATCAACAGTACTTAAACAGTATACAAGAATTAAAACATCTCTCTTTGGACATTTCATCATATCCATTCATCTAAATTAGAATTAGTCTATAATTGATAAAATTATAAAAATTATAGAACTTTCTCTTTATCGTGTTGAATGCGATCAACTCTGTGTGTATGAATAAAACGCATACAATGCTTGGCCCCAAACCCTGAACTACTTATAAACCTGTATACAAACACAAACAATCGTGACCTGCTACGATTGTTGATTGTTTATGGGATTACACGTGTAACGCTGGTTAATGAGATCAGCTCTTCAGGTAACAATCACCAACACCTGACACTGGTTCCAATGAGTGCGTGTTCTGTGGTGGATGAAGCTCAACATCAACACAGATTCCTGTTTCTGCAACTTGACAACATACATTCTGTGTATTATGGTTGATGCAGCAGCGCGCGTGATAGCTACACCGACATTCACGTAGCCAGAGATTCACAACCTCGGTCTGCATCTGTTTCTCGTACTGTACTTGTTTACACCTGAACACGGACACCCACCAGCGTTTCGTCACTGGTCACACCGCGTGGAAATACACAAACACAACATTCTTATTTGCTATGCATACCTCAACAACATGGAGCATCCATTCCCTGTTCCACAGCCGTAGACCCGTCGAAGACTTGCAAATCAATGAAATTTAGCCACTTTCCTACAAATTCCCCTGTGCAAGCAGGTCATGCAGCGCCCTCTTGTATAATAACATTGAATCAGGGGGACGTAATTTACAAGGTCTTGAAAGGCGTTGTCTCCCTTAGACCGAAGTCTTCGGACCATAATAATGACGTTACAAGAAAATCTGTTGTTACGTCCTGGTAACCATGCAACATTTTTCTTTATGACAAAGCTGAAAAAGTTGAGCATCATCATTAGGGTACAAAAAACGTGGTATTATCTTTCTATTTATGAGTAGACATGTATCCTATGGATGTAAAAATATTTATGCCAGAATGCATCCATTTCTCTCTCCTTTATAAAAACCAAGGAGCAAATTTTTACGCTGCAGTAGCAAATTTCTGTTAAAACGAAACAATCTAAATTAAGTTCTCAAGAAACAATTTGAAATCGGATATTTAATCATTTAATAAAAGTGTAATATATTATCTACATGCTTTATGCTTTGTAAAGAATAAGAACATGAAAAAAAGGGATGTACGGTGTTATCTAATGTCATGTCTATTAATACTACACTCGTAAATAAACACGGCACTGTAAACTACAGAGGTTAATGCTATAGTGTTTACACAGCCTGCAGTACATGTGATAACAACACTATAGTCACGACATGGTACCCGTGAAGGTCCGGGTTAGAATATTGATCGTCAGTAACCATGCTTGTCGTAAGAGGCGACTAACGGGATCGGGTGGTCAGGCTCGCTGACTTGGTTGACACATGTCATCGGTTCCCATTTGCGCAGATCGATGCTCATGTTGCTGATCACTGGATCGTCTGGTCCAGACTCGATTATTTACAGACCGATGCCATGTAGCTGGAATATTGCTGAGTGTGGCGTAAAACTAAACTCACTCACTCACGATATGGCTGAAATACTGCCGATGTGACTTACAATCTTAACTCACTCACTCTATTGTGAATGTAGCGCCAGTTACATGATCAAACAAATACGACTCGCTACCTTTGGTGGACGTCATTTTAGACACATATGAAAAAAAAGAAGATTTAAAACACGAATAATTGTGTCAAAACAATACAGATAGTTCGTAATCATTATATATCGCTTATATCGAAACATGAGAAAATAGTATTGATCAATCGACTTTTTAAATATCTGTCGTTTTGGGTGAGATGTTGCCACTGTTCTACTGTCTTGCGAAAGACAACTTGATGCTGTTGAATTGGCTAGTTAGTTTATTGTAATGCCCAGTGTCTTCCCAGAATTTTAGTTACAGATTAACTCGTACATCAATATATTTCTGAATCCCGTCAAGCGTTTACCAAATTTCTGTATGAATTTGTCGTATTGTATACAGTATTCATAGTCCACTATCTCTCAGGTATATATACTACCCATCAAAAGTTTAGACTCACTTGTGCAAATGTAGCCACTTACTTCAGTCAACTGTTCTTAACTTGATTTTGCAAAATATTCCATACTGTTTAAAGGTACTGTTTATACATGAACAGATTGTAAAACACATTTGTAACATTGAAATGATTATTGTCATGAGTTCAATAAACGATGAAACTCGGTGAACATTGTCGAAATCTTAACAAAACTGTACACCAAAACGCAGCTGTTTGTTTGTTTTGTTCCAATTCAAGTCACACACTATTATGGTTTCTACAATGAACAAGAGTTGATCAATGCGGTAAAATGTACATTACTATTGCGAAAGAGATATATCTGAAGGTCACAGCTCACGAGAGGTTAATGAACGTTTCAAATGAAGAGAAACCATTATGTCAAATGTGCATAGTCTTAGCTGAACGGTAAATGACTTAGGGATAAACTTTCCCACGGACGAATATCCTATTCGAGGGCTAAACGAAAGGTAAAATGTCCATTAATTATTTACAAATATATTATTTTAAGTATAACAAATTGTGTCAAAACAAGTTCATATATATTTCATAACCATTAATACCATATATTGTTGATAGTGAAACCTGAGAAATTGAATGTTATCAACCGACTTTATTTAATTACCCGTCTCATACGGAGTTATTTGTGCCGTACATGACTTAGATCTGCAGTCTGCTACGCGAAGGCGAAACGAACCAAGATTTGAAATATTGATTAATCAGGCACCAACCGGTTTACATTTGTGTAGAGTTAGTCGGGTTAAGGCTTCTCTGAACTGTTCTTTTATATCACGAGACAAGCCCAATACAGTGATCCAACACAGTGATCCTCCATAGTGATCCAACACAGTGACCCCACTTCAACACAGTGACCCTCCACAGTGACCCAACACAGTGATCCTCCACAGTGACCCAACACAGTGACCCAACACAGTGATCCTCCACAGTGACCCAACACAGTGATCCTCCGCAGTGATCCAACACAGTGATCCAACACAGTGACCCTCCACAGTGACCCAACACAGTGATCCAACACAGTGATCCTCCACAGTGAACCAGTGACCCTCCACAGTGACCCAACACAGTGATCCTCCACAGTGATCCGGAGTGTGGACAGGATGTATTGTCATGAAGACATTTTCACTATGTTTGATTCCTAATGCTGTAATGAGTGAGTATGGCTTAACGCCACTTTTAGGAATATTCTAGCAATATCATGTGGGGAATCGAACCCGGGTCTTCGGCGTGACGAGCGAACGCTTGAACCACTAGGCTACCCCACCACCAATATGAGACAATAAACGGGGTGGATTGATTTACAACCGCTTCACCTGTTTCATGTTCAGATATAATGCTGTTTCATGTTCAGATATAATGCTGTTTCATATTATAAATATTTGGGTCTTTTATTTTCCAGCCGATTAATTTGGTCCATGGCATGTAAAACCCTTGCAGCACAAGCTAAGAAGGCATTATTTTCTATTTTCAAACTTTTTAAAGTTAATAAGTTTATTTTATTTGATTCTGCTTGCTTACTTTTTTACACTAAAATAGCACCAATTTTGTTATACGGGTCAGAAATTATACGGGAGCAAACTATGTACTTTGAAACTTCACAAAATGTAATTTGAAAAATAATGAATAATTTTTCTCTGATGATACATCTATGTATCCGAAATTGGATCCCTATCTTTCGACTCTAGAAAAACGTTAGCAATACCCACTCAAACCAACCCATTCGTCGTGCAAATGACGTTAGAGCCAAATCAGGTTTTGCACGTGCAGTCGATCACGTGATCTTCGCATCGAAGTTTTCTTCATATGCACGTGTTTGCATTGGCCTCAAGAATTGAAAAAAACACTTTTAAACCACAGTTCTAACGGCACTTGAAATGCCACGATTGTCAAATGTACAACGTGAACGTGCCGTTGGCATGTTGCAAGCGGGAAGATCAGTTATTGACGTCGCAAGAGCAATGGGATGCAGCCGTCGTACTGTGTATGACTTGCGAGGTCGTCTACAACAAACTGGCACCACTTCTGATCGCCCAAGGTCGGGTCGTCCACGTGTGACGTCAAGAGCAGAAGACCGTCAAATCGTCCTACGTCACCTACGTGACAGATTTCTGCCGGCTACACGAACCAGGGCTGAGATGTTTAGAGGTCGACTGTCCTCACAGACCATTCGAAATCGGTTGCGGGATGCCAATCTCCATTCTCGACGTCCATATCGTGGGCCAATATTGACGCCGTTTCATCAACGTCACGTCAACGTCTGCTGTGGGCCCAACGTCACCTCCGAGACTGGAATCGAGTCGTCTTTAGCGATGAATCCAGGTTTACCCTCAGATTCGCGGACGGCAGGCATAGAGTCTGGAGACGACGTCGTGAACGGTATGCCCAATGTTGTGTACAGGAAGTCGACAGATTCGGGGGCAAAAGTTGCATGGTGTGTGGTGCTTTCTGTGGGAACAACCGTTCCCGACTTCTGGTCATCCGTGGAAACCTCACAGCTGCTGCTTACCGTGACCAGGTGCTCACACCTGAACTCGTTCCTTTCATGGCGGCTCATGGCCCAGGTCTACAGTTCCAGCATGATAATGCTCGGCCGCATACCGCGATGTTGACACGAAATTTTCTTCAAAACGCTGGAATCAACGTCATGGACTGGCCATCGAGGTCCCCTGACCTTAATCCAATAGGACGTTTGGGATGCACTTGGGAGAAGGCTTCGTGGTCTTAGGAACCAACCTCAGAATTTGCAGGAACTTGGCGCTGCCTTGCAAGAGCAATGGCGCAGAATCCCCAACCACGTGTTCACAAGCATCAGGCAGTCGATGAGGAGACGGTGTTTGGCAGTGGTGAATGCGCGGGGCGGCCATACACGATATTGAACTGAGAAATTTCGCATTTTTATTCTTGTGACTTGACATTCTGTATACCCATGTTTTGGAACGGCGGTGTAGCCTAATGGAACTGATTATGGCACTGTCAGTGTATCGAGTACATCACACATATCTCAGCAATGAAATAATAACAATTTAACCATCTTACCATCTCTTGTTCTTTGATAGTGCCCTGAAGAAAGAATGTGAAGTTTCATTTTTGACTCAGTATATTTCAAAGCCATTGAAATTGTCCATGCATCATATTTTAAAAGATTTCTTACAGTAGGTAAATTTGCTTCCAGTAATGCCATACCTGGCGAAACAGGACGCTATAACATGCATATTGAAGGTCAAATGAGAGTTATTAGATACTGGATTAAGCTTATAAGAATGCCTGATTATCGCTACCCCCACCAAAGCTATCAACTATTGTTATCACTAGATAATTGTGGAAAACATTCATGGGCTTCAGATGTGAGAAATATGTTATTTTCAAGTGGGTTTTCTTATGCTTGGTTTAAGCAAGATGTTGGTGATATAAAAATATTTTTGTCAACATTTAAACAACGGATAAAAGATATTTATGTTCAGAATTGGTACGCATCAGTAAATTCATCCAGTTTTCCTAGTCATTATTCACAATGTAAATCGATGTTCGGACCTGAAAAATATACCAGTGTTCTTAATGATAAGTCCCTTTTAAGAATTTTTTTGTAAATTTAGAATCTCTCTACATGCCTTAAAA